TAACATACACATATGTATTATTAATTTGTAATGGTTTGATTTGGAGTAATTTTTGTACTAGTACTCAATAGGAGTGAAGATGTGTAACATTTTACAAATTTGCGATGCCACTAATCTACTTGTAATGTCGCCATGTTTGTGTTACTGAAAATCTGGAAAGTTTTAATTCATGTTAGTTTATACACTTTCTTACTTTGGAATGGACTCGAATTGCTCCACTGTTATACGGTACTCAAAATCAAGAAACTTAAACGGAATTGGGTTGATGGGTCTATGTTTTACCATTGGCGAATTTTTATAATTTTTTAACGTTATTGGCGTGAAGACGTTCTGAAATTAAAATAGTTTTTAATCGGCGAATCAATAACAAAGGAAACCAGACTTACAGAATGCAATTTGAGTCCACTCATACATTTTTCCAAGACGTTTGCAGACATTTTTTCAACCGTTCTTGGCACATTCGAAGCAGTGACAGCTGCAAGCATTTCTTTATCTCGTAACTCAGCTTCTTGCATTTTACGTCGCCGCTCCGCTAGAACATATTTAATAATAGCGTCTTGTTGCAGCTGCATACGTTTTATTAAAAGTCCATGATTTTCGTTTACTTTCTCTAGATCTTCTTTCACTGCCTTTTGTAACTTGTCCATAACCAAATTTAATTCCTTGGCCTCTTTAATGAGCGTGGATGCTACATATTGTACCTTCTCACGCCTTAAACTCAAAGCGATGAATTCTTCAATCATTGATATCTTTTCATTGATTAAAAAAGTTATCTCTTCCATAATTATGCTGACCACAAATCAATTATCGCCTATTAAATTAACAGTTGAGGTATTTGCTCTGTAAATAAAAAATTGAATCAACTTTCAAAATATACACTTAAAATAAGCAGGGAGTTTACGATGCACAATTTTCTATTGTGAGCTTATCTTATGCAAAACAAATTAACCTTCAAATTGATCCTGATCGAAACTTTAAAAAGACGCAACGGAAAACCAAGACGTAAATGAGTTAACGGGGCAAAAATGGGGTTTGACAGAAAATTTAATATACAAATTTTTATGGCAGAAACTATTCAACAAGCCACGAAAATGTAAGAAAATTGAATGATATTTGACTTCTAAGCGTAAATGTCAAACGCACGCATAAAGATACACATGCTATGGAGGTCTGTCTTAAATCTGAAGATACATACTTTTATCAAAGAAGGTAAATTTACGTTCTTTGCTTTTATTTGCTACGGCATTGCATCCGTTTGAGCGCTGACGCGTTAAAAAATTTGATGTTACGCATCTTTCATTGTAAACAAAAAAAAAACAGCTGTTAAGCATTTCCACCAATCTAATTTCAAATGTCAACGCATGAACGCACGGAAAAGTAGCGAGTTGATTTACTGTCTAATGCCAGGGTTATAATGGAAGTAACGGAACGGAGTGAACTGTCACTTAATTGTCTATTGTATGGGAAATGAATGCAAATGGTTATAATGCACGGAACGTAACGCAAGCGGAACAATCTAAAATCAATAGATCCTTACGAATTCGCCGCAATTTGTTACGATTTGCCCCGTCCATTGCGGCATCGTCTCTAATGCTTACAACACCCGAGACAACCGTAGAAGCAACCAGGGCATGTTGCTTCGACCGTGCTTCGTGTGTAACATTGCAGCTCATAGAAATTCGTGTTCCCGCAAACGTCGCCCGAAGATCTAAATATTGACTTAACTTTTTGTATGCGCTTCATATGATCTAGATTCACTGTTTACAAAGCGCATAGGGATAATATTTTTGCTTTAGCTTCTAGTAATGAAAATTCTTGTATTGTTGACGATTTCAACTTATGTGACATTAGCTGGTCTAGTTTGGATAATAGCTTAGTCCCATATCCCACGAATATTAACAGTGGCTGTGAATGTTATGTTATTGATAATTTTTTAAGTATTAACCTCTTACAAATTAACGGTTTTTTAAATAAGCTGTCTAGAATCCTAGACATTGGAGCCAATTCGCGTTCAATGAAATGGTGCAGTGAAAATGAAAAATTCAATGTCAGTGTGAGTTTAAGACAATGATATTCTTTATCACAAAATCATGGATTTGAGAAAAATGCTAAACTTTTCTTTTTCACATCAACAAAAACGTTTGAAAAAAGTTTTCACAGCGAAATCACATGTTTCTTGCCAGCTACCGGCAGAAATTTTACCCGAGTTGAGCGTTCTTTTGTCGCTCGCTTACAAAAAAATACAACAAGTAACACCACCTTCAAGACCACCTTGTATAAATTCGCCTTGATTACTACGATTTTGAAAACGTAATCAGCAATACGTTGTATAAATTTAAGCATTTGTCAACACTCTAACCGATCATTCACAAATTGCCACATTCACAATAGTGTTAAAAATTGTGAACAAATTTTAGTGAAAATTCCAATTTGAAAATGCCAGAAGTTTTTCTGGGTGCAATTAGGAAAATTATCCGCGCTAAGAACTTAATTTATCGGGAAAATTGTCACGTATTCTCATATCTTTGAGCATAATGTGCAGATTCAATGTGTAGAGCAATTATTTATCGCAATGGATCGTACAATTATCGCCGTACAGCGTGCGGAAGAACGAGATCTCAGTGAAAAATTGTACAAAAAGCTACGCGGGTTGGGCCTATTGCAACCGCCTACAGATGATCTACGAAAATGTTTGAGCGAAGAAATGTTTATAAAACCCAATCCTCAGGCGTTTTTTCACGTAATGCACTATCTTTTTTGTTTGCTGGATGCGGTCGAGTTCAAAAAACGCTTCTATTGGCCCATAACAGATAAACGTTCCGAGGCAAATTTCCGAACAAGCACTGTGGAATACTTGAAATATTTGAATGAGAAACATAAACTGCATTGGGGTGACATCAAGTCGTACTTAGTTGTCATGCCGGGTGGTAAAAAGTTTATAATATTTTTATTGGATTTTGTAACATTTGTGGTCCAGGAGCAGATCCGCCATCGAGAGAAATTATTAGGTGCAGAGGTTGAAGCAGGACATGTCGCTGACCTAAATTTAAAGCGCATGCGAAAACAAAATGCATTCTTCAAACATTATGCTTCAGCTTATATCAGTAATGTGGATGAGCTAATAGTGCAATTACGTGACAAAACCCAGCAATTAAATAATATATTGGATACGTTGGCTCAAGAAACAGGCAAAAGCAAAGCACAATTATGCAATGAGCAATTTATAGTGTTGTATGAGAAATCGAATAAGGAATTATTTCAAGATACGTTCGCCAAAGATTCTGACATGGTTCGCAAATTAGAACAACCACTCGTGGGTTTGAAGCAGCTCATGGAGAAATTTCAACTGAGAGAAGCGGAAATGAAATTCGATAAAAGTCGTGTGCGACAGGCAATACAGAAAATTGGTGATGCAACTAATGCTGAAAACTTAGGTAAATATCAATTACATTTGAATGTATTTACATACGTATATAATATAATTCTTTGTACGAAACAAAAACTATATTGAATATATTCCATTTAGAAACATTTCTGCATCCCAGTGCAAAATCCATGGACGATGTCAAATTGTATGAACTCATCGTTACATTTAATATAATTCAACCAGACTTAGAAAATGCTTTCAATGAAGTAGAGCAGTCAAGAAGTTGTGGCGAACTAGTTACATCAGAGTTATCTACACTAAAATATGAATACCAACAATTAGAAAAACAAATCACAAGTTTTCAACTGTTTTTAAATTCACAGATGAAAAAACATTGTAATCCGCGAAAACCGACTCCAGGAGAGTCGACCGACGATTGCACTTCTTTAATGATGAAGTATGTTTGCACACCCCCAATCAAATTGGAAACGCAAAATGGTGCTCGTATGGATAGTATGCGCTTACCACTTTTCGCCGATGTACAAGGGAAATTTATGTCAGACTCATTTTACGGAAATGTTTCAGGTATATCTAGCATTTCTAGTTAAAATGTAAGTAATCTGTAGAAGTAAATTTTTATATTCATAGTTTTGCCGCGCTCCGCACGTAAACAAGCAGCTAAAAACACTTCCGTTGAAATGAATAATACCTTGAACAAATCACGCGTTATCGATTCAATGCATTTATTGCGAACCATTCATACTGCACGTACTGCACGTGCACAACGCAAAACTTTAAATAATACTTCATCATCGACTGCTTTGTTGAGTACAAGTTGGCGAGAACGCCAAAACATTTTTCACAATGATTTGGAATCTGAACCAGTTCCAATAGCCGAGAAAGCAATGAATACGAATAATATTAGTGCCACCCTGAATAAAAGCATAGATCG